GACAAAACGCGCGTGAAATTATTCCCTAATTTCACTCGTCACCATTTGATTACACATACTAATAACTTTATTTATATAGCGCTCATATCCTGAGCTCATGGCGCTTTGTTAAAATGGCGAGAAAATGAAAAAATTTACATATCATTATCATGGAATAAAACATATTAAAAATCTATTTACAATCTATATATTACACGTCTTAAAATCATTTTACAAAAACAATGACCCACTCTCCAAAAATTGCCTAAAAAGATGTTTTTAATCCCTTCTTAAAACCAGTTAAAGATGGTGACTTACGCAAATCTAATGATAGCGAGTTCCACAGTTTAGGGGCACACGCTGAAAAAGCCTTGTCCCCGTAGGTTTTCGTGAATGATCGGTGATCGGGGTTGTTCTAACAGCTGCTTAGATGCGGACGGCAAGTTCCTGGAATGCGATTGATAACTAAGTCTGTCCGCCAGATGGTTAGGTGAAAGGTTATTAAGTGATTTGAAAACTAGTAAAAGAATTTTAAAAACAATACGATAACTAAGAGGAAACCAGTGAAGGTCAAATAAAACAGGCGTAATGTGTTCAATTTTACGAGTCTGAGTAACGATTCTGGCGGCAGTGTTCTGAACATATTGAAGCTTCTTCAACTGCATTTTCGTACAACCGTGGAGAGCAAGAAATTACAATAGTCTAGTTTAGATGTTGTAAAGCATGCACAGCAATTTCGCAAGACTCCTGTGTGATATATTTTCTTATCTTTGACAAGTTCCTAAGCTCGTAAAACGATGATCTGCAAATGTCTGAGACGTGCACGTCGAATAACATGTCATCAAGTACTACTCCCAGACTCCTGGCATTGGCGGTGGTTGTCAGCCTCTCTGATTACCCATACTGAAGTAGCTGAAAAGTGGAGGAGTACGGTACTTCGAGGAAATAAGCATAATTTCTGTCTTGTCATGATTGAGTTTCAGTTCGTTTACGTCCATCCAAATGCATATATCAGCGACACAGTTCTCTATGCTCAGCCTTGCAACATCGACATCACAATCTTTGAACGATATGTAGAGCTGAGTATCATCAGCATAGACATGAGAGTCGAGTCCATGACTTCGTATTATCTCAACAAGTGGTGTGGTGTACAATAGATACAAAATGGGACCTAGGACAGAGCCCTGCGGAGCGCCCACAGTCAGATCCCTAACCGACGATTTTGTATCATTAATTTCGAAACACTGAGATCGGCCAGACAGATAAGAATGAAACCACTGCAGAAACGTTCCCGTGATGCCAAACGAGTTCTTCAGACGCGAGAGTAGCAAAGAATGATTAACCGTGTCAAATGCCGCTGACAAGTCTAGTAACAGTAGGAACACATTGTCTCTCCTGTCCAGTGAAAGTAAGATGTCATTTGTGATCGTTAGCAGTGCAGTCTCTGTACTGTGGTGCGCTTTGTGCGCAGATTAAAAACGTTCATGCAAGGCATTAACCGTAAGATAATTATTCAACTACGCAAATACAGACTTCTCTACCAGGTTTGAAAGAAACTTCAAATTGGACACCGGGCGGAAGTTGGAAAGTTGCTCACAGTCAGCATTCGGTTTCTTCAGTAACCACCGCAGTGAGGCAATCTTAAGATCATCTGATATCGATCCAGTCGACAGCGATAGATTGATTACCGTTTTGAATACCGGTACAAGAGCCGATCGAATAGCAACTTCGCAATTATGGTTGCTGGTAGGGGATCAAGTTTACAAGCCTTGATAGTGGAACTTTTGATCGGCTTCAAGACATCATCAGTGACCAAATCAAACTCACTTAACCGTGACAGGCAGGTGGGCTTGGTCAGACCAGGGGAGTGAACAAGTCCACTTTTCCTAAGTACAAGCTCTTCACGAATCCTTTCTATCTTGGCAGTGAAAAAATCTGCAAAAGCAATTGCAAGTTGTTGATCATTATCGGCGGAAGGATAACGCTTCTCAGTTTGCCTTTGCAGTAGCTTATCTATAGATCGAAAGAGGAGCCTGGTGTCATGGGCGTTGTCCTGGATAACCGACGAATAATAGAATTCCTTGGCTTTGTATAGCATTGTATTCACAACACTACATTGCTCTATGTAGCTCAATCTGTCCGACTCACGACGGCTAGAGCGCCACCTGCCCAGCTCTAACCTGCGCCGCTCCCTCTTCTCATTGCCAATGTTCTCGTTATACCAGGGGGCGTTTGGACGAAGGACGATGGTCCGAGATTTCACCGGAGCCAATATATCCATGGTATCAGGCAAGACGTTATCATACCTATCAACCATCAACTCCAGGGGGAGATCACTGACATCTGCTAGCAGGCCTGAAGGATGATCGTCTTATTAAAGGCCTCAAAATCAAAGTTCCTAAGCCTGCGGCTAACAACAGACTTTCTCTCATTGAGCGGTTTCTGAAGATTCAGCTAAAAGCAATTAACTTTGTGGTCAGAAATTAACTGCTCCATTACAACAAGTTAATTGACTTTCAAA